ATATCAACTTCTTGATTATTGAGTGTTAGAACAATAGGATTTGTGTACTCATAAGCAAAAGATTTAATTTAAATGAATTTAATTGAAGTTTTTGAAGTGGTTCAAAAACAAGTTTGATCTGAAACTTCGGGAGAGCTTTACAATACTCTTCCGAGGTCTCTCATTTATTGATAGAAATAGATATATTTAAGTGAAACGAATAATAGAAAGCAGTAAATATATTAAGAAAATAATAAGTAAGATATTCAAAATCATCAAATGTTTCACATGAAAAAATTGGAATTTTTTTTTGTATTTGATATTTGATAAAATTATATATAAATTATTGCAAAATCAAAATACTCTAAGAAATAAAAAATAAGAGTTAATGCATTTAAATAAAAGAAAGAATTCTGAATTTCAATGGTCAAAGATGGTGATGGTCAAGAAAGTTTTAGCTGGCGCCATATACTAAATCATATACACTCTGATTCCATTTTGGTTTTTTTAACCTCATCTTTTTTTTATTTCAAAGTTTCTTCTAAGGTGGATTGTTGATGATGGAACGGTGTTGATGTTTCATCGACCGCTGAATGATGTTTATATTAGTCAATCCGGAGCTTTTTTCAATTCACACTATTTTTGTTGCGTATTTTTGTGAGATTTCGAGACGATAAGCATCCTCAGGTGACGCCAACCATTCCTTTTGATTGTTTTCTTCTGTGAAATCAAATAATCTTATCCCATTCGTATGAAAAAAAAAGAAAAAAGAAATCGTTCTCCTAATTTTCATTTTGAATTTTTTGATACGAAGATTAATTGCCAACACTTTTGTTGGTCCATTCCGGAAAAGTTGTAACTGTTGAAAAAAATTAGATAATGGCGAGATTGCTTTCATTTATAAAACTGAAGAAGTTAATTCTGATTTTAAAATATCTAATTATAAGCGTGTTCCATAACTGGTTCATTTGCATAGCGCCAATTATTAATTTGAAATTGATTAGCTAAAATAAATTATCTTGTAAAAGTAAGGAAGAAAAAAAGTTCTAAAAATTTTATCTCAAAATAAATGTAAATAAATATATTTCCATTCAAACATTAAATATATTTTAATTAATTATTTTTTAGGGATCTTTTTAAAAAAAATTAAACAAATTTTAGGATTGCAATTATTTGCTGAGCATCATTTCCGAACTGTTAAACAAGTGTCAATATAATAGCTGTTTCTACTCCCTTAACGAGAATACATTAATATAACAGGTAGTAGTAGGAAATAAAAATTTGAATTATGAGCTATTGAACAGGTGGAAAAGGTTGTTTTTAGATTTTGTAAGGAAATGAGATGGAAAGGAGGACATATCCTTGAGAAGTCAATGTTCTCTCTATATTTGGGGTCCCATTTTTCGCTTTTCTCCTCATCATCATCCATTAATAATCGTTCATGCGCGAAAATTTGAGCAATAGTGATAATAATTGGGTGGGAAGGAAAGGGTCTCTGTACATTCGTATTCATCAGCTGACATTACTTACACTAATTAGCTGAACGATGTACGCAACAATTTCAATAGATTCTATATGGAAGTAAACCACTTTACATTCACAATACCAGCCAATATTATATATCGCTCCAGTTTTTTTAGTTAAGATATTTTTTGATTATTAATTTTTGATGTGGAAAATTTGGCATCAGATCATTTTATTATTTTACTCGAAAGAAGTTTTCTTGATTTGGCATCATTGATCTAATGTTTGAAATTGAAAATAGTATCCTCTGTTTTATATAAAATAATTACCAATGATAAATGTGTGTCAATGCTTTAAAAAAAAGATTTGCAATAAGATGAAATGCAGTTACTCTTTCTTATCATTGAATAAATTATTATTGTTATCATTAATTAGATTATTAAGTAGTACTGTCACTAAAACAGTTATTTTAGTCACTTCACCTGCCATAATTATCGTTACTATTAAATTAGTGATGTAATTTGCCACAACAATATAACAAGTACGTTGCTATCAATATCATTTATCAGTATTGTTATTTTCATTCTTATAGCAATGAATAAAATTACGATATTATTTAAATATTTCTTTTCTGATAAATAGATAAAATGATGGGTAGCATTATTAAATTACTATTTAAATTAATAAGAATTTGCAAATACAAAAACAAGCGTGAAATATAAATAACGATTAGTTCGAGTTCAAATTATTTAAGCAATCAAAATTACAATTAATTCGTAATTTAAATTCAAACTAATTATAATACTCACTTTAACTTCCTTTCTTATTTGTTTATTTTATTTGCATATGCATATTATATGTCATAGAAAACAGCCAGATATGTATAAGAAATTTTATTTATGTTTATTTAAATGAGCTAATAAATAATAAGCAAAAATCATATGCAAATATATGCAAAAATTAGGAAAACATTTTTGAACTACTAAAATATTTTAACAAAAAAAATAATATAAAAATAAACAAATAATAAATTTGCTCTTTTCCTCATATAATCATATCGAAAAATGGATGAAAGAGTCAATTGGTTAGAGTAACTGTCAATAAAATTGGTCAGATTCTATGAACACAAGAAAGGGAAGAAAAGAAAATATTTATAGATCTTTTCTTTTTTTTAAATAAATTATAACGAATCTTCATTGCTAGGAGAAGGTTGCCATGCAATAATACTAATGACAAAATTCAATATTCCTTGAAATTATCATTGGATTAAAATGTTTCCTATAAGTTATCATAAATCTTGTTTCAAATGAAGAGAAAATTTTTGAATTGAACTGATATTTCATTTCTGATTTACTTTTCCAATTTAAACTTAATTCATTTCTCACTTCAAATTTGTTTTAAATTCATTACGCTTGAAAGTAATATTATTAAATATGCTAAACATACATTTAGAAACTTGAAAATTTGAAGTTAATTTGAAAAATGTCTAGAAAATGTACGAAGCACACTCATATCAATTATTCGTTCCTGACTTAATTAGCGGAACATAATTTAAAAATGGTGTGGAACAGATAAAGTTAAACACTATCTCTTATTATATAATAATAATATCATACAATAATATCTTTTTGAAGTTTTATCTATTAGGATTTCAACTTAGTCTTACGAAATGAAAAATTTTATTGAATGCCTTACATAAATGTATTTATTTTATCATCGTTATGCTAAAACAGTAAATTTGCTTCATAAATTTATGGTCATTGAATAGGATGATATGCCTAAGTTTGCTATTTCAAACCTGCCTGGCTCAGCTTCTGTTTTTTCGAAGCTGTTTAACACTTCAATTAATTAACCACTAAAACTCAAGGCTTAATTGTTCCATACCATGTTTTAACCTTATCTACAAGTTATCCGATTTATGAAAATAATTGATGTGACACAAGGATATGGTGCTTAACTTTACTTTTTCAATATTTTCGTGTATCATTTATCAAAAATCTTGTACCTTAGATAGGTAATCCAACAGACTTTCTTTATGCTCCAATAGATGAATCGAAAACAAAGATAAGCGGGATATAAATCTCTTCATTTTCTTCGATCCGTTGATATATAAATAAAATTCTTTTTTCCATTACCATTAATTAGAAGAATTCTTAACAATATTAATCTAATCTTATCTTTACTGCACAGATTGCTAAATATTGAGATTGGAAATCTATCTTAATTATTGATAAATTCTTTTTCCTAAATTTTCATCACAGCACTATGTTATTAGCAGTAGAGAGATCATTTTATTATTTAATTTAATGATAATCTATTTCTAACAGGTATTTGTATCAAAGAAGAAGATATCGTATGAGTGATAAAGAATCAGAAAAAGTTGTGCAACTTAATTAATTTTCATATAATTTTGTCACCAAATTGTCCATATTAAGATAAGCTAATTTCGACAAATATCTTCCTTCAAGTATTTTCTCTCATGATTTTACAATCAGTCGTAAAATTTCCTCTATTTGACTTTATGCTGCTTTTAATGTTTAATAATTTCCGCTCAATTCATTTCACAAATATCAGCCATCGAAAATGTTCTCTTCGATTCGTTATTTGAATGAATCAGCAGATAAGACGTAATTTGAAATCTTCCAAATTAATTCTGAGCTTTATTACCGCAAAGTCTCCTAATCGAACTATGCATTACCACTCTTCTATCATCATTGATAAGTAAGTGATAACATTTTTTCCAGCTTCCCATATCGACAGGTTTCCACTAGATAAATAATGCCAGACTAATTTAACGTATCCTAAAAATGAATGGATAAATGATAATTGTCGTTATTGTCGCAATTGTCGTCCCCGTCGTCATCATTATCGTTGACGACATCGCGTTGTTTCTTCATCACAATCATTAGTGGATGGGTGGAGTGGTGAAGTCTACCTGCCTAGCTATCTGACTACCGTATCCACACAAGCACTGAAGGGGTGGGATTTCGATAGTAATGTGGAAAACGAAGACTTTTCGATGTTACTCCCTCTTCCTCGATTCCGATTCTCTCTGCCAGTGCTCCTACAAATTTTTGTGATATTGTTGCTTGCTGATGATATTAACGCATTCAAATTCCTGAAATTATCATTCTATGATTCAAGTTAACAGGATGTGTTTTTTTGTTTGAACTTGTAACTTAAACTTTTCGTTAATGTTTATATTATTTAACATATATCCTGGTTGTTTCAGTAAATCTTCTCAAATCCTTTTTCCGAAACTCTAGCAGTTAAGAATTTCAGGAAAAGCATTTTTAAGGAGATTTACTAAATCAAACACTTTTTCATATTTCTTTCACAAATTGCCCATCTGTCGTAGAAAAAAAAAGTTGAGTCATTGCATTATTAATATATATTGTTTTTGGGCCAAATTGAATTAGAATCCTTAATGATTTTTCTCTATTCAAATATCCCATAACTTTTGCTTGACCTTGTTATTAAATCTAGTAAAAAATACAAATATACATTTGCAGCATTTTTTTGTTTTGATATTTTTAGTTTGAATTTCAGTCTAAATAATGCTCGAAAGCTCGAAGTTTCATGTTTACCTAAAAGTTCTAATTTCAGGTTGATACCATCGACAACTGTTAATAATCTTGGGTTTGAAGCATAGAAAAAGTACATTGTTAACAAATCAGTGAAAATTTCAAAGCTCACAATTTGTTCACTTACGGGATCATTCTAATTGCTTCAATAATTTTATTTAACTAATCTGTTACACGCTTCCCAAATTTCACTCGAATTTATTGTGAATTCATTCTGGATATTCTCATCACTTTATATTTGTTGGCGCAAAAGAAAAGCATAAAGCGGCAACAATTGAAGTGAACCAAACTGGCCACAAATTTAATTGCCTTCCGCGGTGTTTTTCGACGTTGTAACATTCAACATCAGCAACAATTTGAACAAAATATCGGAATAACGCAGCCACAAAAAGCGCCGCATCACTTACAGCAATTACAACAAGGAGCTACTGTAGGCGGCAATAGTCGTAACAGCAGTAGCAGTAACAGTAATAATACTAATAATACCGATAGCGGTAGTGGTGGTGGTGGTGGTGGTAGCGGTGGTGGTGGTGGCGGTGGTGGCGGTGGCAATAATAATACTAACCACTCGGGCTTCTCTTCTAGCTCGAGTGGTAAAGAGATACCCACAACTTCTGCTGCAGTAACAGCAACTCCTGGTATCGGCTACTCGAGCTGTATCATGTATGATCAACATCCATCTGTCGCTGATTCCTATTCATTAGTTGTCACCACGTCAGCTGACACTAATAATACCAATAATGGTGGTGTAACAATTGGGAAGATCGACAATGATATCGAAACGACAATGATATCAAGTAAGTTTCTTTTCAAAATTTTACTGATTTATTTTATATTTTAATATCAAAATTAATCACATTTTCCTCATAAATTCGATAATCAGTTAATATCCTGTTAAATCTATCAAAATTTCCGGTTTGGAACCTATTCCAATTTATATGCAATATGCGAGGTAGCATTTGAATATTGCAGTTGTATTGACTTCCTGAAACAAGCTTATCGTGCTAATCACTGAACTTGTTTGCTTATCCCTAAGTTATTAAGAGCGGATTGAAAATCACTTGAAGTTTTATGTTCTATATCTCTTCTGCTTAACCTCACTTGATTGTCACCACTTCCGTCCTTTGAAGAACTACATGAATTGAAAAATGATGTGGCAATAAAAATCTATTTAGAACCTATTCTTTTGTTCCAATAAATGATAGTCAACAAAAATATTGCATTTTCAAAATTTAAATATTAGAACTTTGATGTTTTTCTATTACTTTCTTGTATTCAAAGACTGATATAATGATTCTATAATTTATGATAAAAATTATACTCACTGAAATTTCATCTACAGTGATTTCTTTCCAAAACGCAGAAACGAGAAATTTCTAATTTACAAGGTAATTCTTACCATAACCGTATTTTCTTTTCTTTATCATTTCTACCCTTAAAAAACAAAAAACATTTTCATTTGAAAATAAAATTTGTTCAACATCAGTTGACGTCAGCTTCCTCCACACAATTCTAATTTCACCGCATTCGATTTCGGCTCCCTCTTTCACTTATCAATCTATTGATCTATAAAATATATAGCTTTTTGTAAACATTGAAACATTAAATTCTTTTTCAAAAGTTTTTTTTGTTTAATTTTTTTTCATTTATCACTAAGACGAAATGAAAAAGAAAGCAGTCTTTTCGAGATATCTCAAAATTTATTGATTAATTCAAGAAATATATCCCAATAATGAATTGTTAAGAAAGGAAAGAGAGTGAATGAAATTTAAATTGATGTTTTTCGACTTCTCTATATTGATTGAAATAAATCGAAGTGAAATTTTAGAGTATTGTGGATTGAGTAAAGCTTTGATTTCCCCAACATATCATTTCATCACACCTTTTTTGAAGAGATGCAGAAAGAGAGGGAGAGAGAAGAAAAAAATCATAAAATATATCATATGAGAGGACAATTGCACTCCGTTATAACAACTACCTTACCATTTTAACTGTCCATTCTCTTTCACTCTAATCGAGCCAATATTTGCATAATTGCTTATGTTCAACGTATTGACACCTGTAGTGTGGATGGAAAATTTTAGAATACTATCATTTCATTCTTATTTCTATTTCATTCATTTATTGCATTTTCAACTTGACAGCCAAGAATTTGACGGTATAAGGCCAGCATCGTTTTTCTTTCATCTCCTCAAAACAATTTTATAAAGCCAAAAAGATGAAGTTATGAAGTAATGATACAGGGAATCTTCCATCTGCCATATAGCTTAGAACTGTTTAATTAGATTGTGAAGAATTGGACTGAAAAATTTAGTTCTTAGATATCAGAATTCATTTAATGAAACATGAACAGGTTTTCGTTTTAGCTAATTTTGTGCAGAGTGAAAAGGGTAGAACTGATAAATCAAGTAGAGTATTTTAGAAGGTCGTTTAAAGCCCATTAAAAACTAGTTCCCAAAAGTGGCATTTTTTGGCCAATAATTTTTGAAAGACATCTGGTTTCAGGCTTGACTGATTTATGGAACTGTTAATTAGAGTTTTAGATTCACTAACTTGTGCTGTACGCCATTAAGCTCTTAAATTGTAGTTCGAAATGACTCTTCTAGTTTGAAAAATGTAATAAATCTTTAGTTTTAATGTAATTCATTTCATTGTCATCACTATATATCAATTGGAAAATTTTTTTTAGATTCTATAATTTGAATTATTTCCCATATTTTGATATCTTTTGTAGAAACATTTCTGAAATACTACAATTGCGTACTTTAATTATTTCATCTTTCTGAATAGCTTTACCATTTTTCAAGAATAGTTCCATTCCATCATTTTAGAATATTTTTTAAATCACTTTCAAAACATCGATCTGATAAGGTAGTTCTTATCAATATTATAAAATCTTATTCCTATCATAATTATCAATAAAATTTTTAGTGGAAGATGAAATTATAAATTAAAATAGTTAAAAAATTCAACAGCTACAGCTATTGGAAGTAATTCCCATTGCCATCGTTTCAACTAAATAAAAGCTATATCATAATAAATAATTCGCAGGATCAGAGGGACAGAGGCAGCAAGAGCATGGATGTCGATTGTGTATCGCATGCTTGCAAGGTATGAATCGAAGAAGCTCACACAAAATTCATGAATTTTTTATTTTAAATAATCCAATAGTTTGAGAATTTGAAATGGCCCATTTCACACGCTTTCGTCTATTAAACTTAGAGCATAAATCGAAGAAAAACAAAGTCATTTTCAGTTAACTTTTTTTCCCTCTTTCGTATATAATAATATATAAATTTTAAAGCATTTGTTAAATGAAAAATTTTAATTCAAGTTTTTAAAATTTGAAATGAGTATAGAATTTATTTCAGAAATACGTGATCCTTTTGTGTTACGTGTCAATCCAGACCTGGAATTCCACGCCGGATGTCTGAAGGTTTGTCTAATCATTACATCTTAGCTTTTGTAGATTTTATTCTTAATTTAATTCATTTAAGCAAAATGATTACAATGTGAAAATTTTGAGATTTAAGTAAGCGGATAAACAAAAGTATCAGTACTTGAAAGTATAATACTAATTCTTGCTCTGGCTTAAGGAATGATGTAACAAAATGTTAAGGAGTAACTTTTATTAGTTAATTACGTAACGCTTCCAAATAGAATAAATCTTTATGAAGGTGCAATGTAGCAGTTGCTGTATTTTTAGGTCATATCTCAATACTTGAAGTTGTTGTAAACGACTTGCTATTTCTTACCTTTTATTTACACAACAATTAATTATGCTTAAGGAAGTGACTGCATAAAATTAGATGGAAGTTTGTTAAGTTCAAATATTATTAGATTTAAAACTGAATGCTGGTTGTAATTTTGGGAAAACTTCATTGAATTAATATAAAAAATTCAAAGAAGCGATCATAAAACTTCAACTATATCAAATAGGCTCAATGAAAACGGAAAGAAGTAGATTCATTTACTTGATTTGTTCATATTAAATTCGAAGGCAAAAAATTTAATTAAAAAGTGTAATTTTTTAAAATTTGAGAAAATTTCAGTTTCATTCTTTGTTGAAAAAAATATACTAAATTGGACTTATTTATTTCTTATTCATCTCTAAATGTTTCAAATATCAAGTTATGTCTAAAATTCATTGATGCGATGATCGTAGCACATATATTTGTATGGAAGCAAATCTCGGATACCACTATAATAAATCATTGATGTGATGTTGCGTGTTCAGTTTTAATTCTTCCGTCAAGTGCCCTTGATTCCATGAGACCTGTCCTGTCTGTTGACCCATCATTAACCATTAATTCTTCCGCTTCACCTGTATTGATTACCATCTGTCAATAATCCTCATATGTGAATTCATATTAATTCGATTTAATTGAACTTAATTATATCAATTCCAAGAAAAAAAGAAAAGGATTAAATTTGTTAAACAAAGTTTTTCCTTATTTAGAAAAAACAAAAAAGAAATGTAATTTACAAATTTTAACTAAAATTAATTGATGAAATCTATAAGAATACGAAATTATCACTATCATTTAATATTAATTATAAATAAGGCAAAGATCAGATGAATTCATATAATTCACAAACATTCTTTCCAATCAATCCTTCAAAGATAGACATAAAATTTTGCCTAAAAATAATTTTAATTGAAAAAAAATTTTTCTTTTCATTCTTATTCGTTATGAAACAAATCTACAAGAAGCTTACCATATTGGGAATTACCGTAATCCATAACGGAGATACATTTGTGATGTGTTCTTTCTAAAGATGCACATTACATCGAAGTCAGTATGGAGGAAAGAGATAAACAGGTTTTTGAAAAGTGAGAAAAGATGAAGTTTGTTGAAAAGAGTAGATGACTGACTGGTCGACACACCAAAATTATTAAATTATCAGGAAGACTGATGAGAGGGGTTACTTCCTCACATCCCTGTTGTAATTCTAGTTTTATTTAATGCTCACAAACAAAATGAAAATTTATTCATTGAGCGAGTATAACTTTTGGGGAGACAACACATTTCATTCTTAATTTAAAAATTTTTTTATTCCTTTGAAATAAAATATAATGAGAATTTGCCGTACACTCCGTTGACAATAATGGCTGTATAATATTAGTAAACAAATTAACAAGAAAGTTAAAATAAACAAATAGTTTTGATAATAATTATGAAATAAGTAACAAACAATAGATATATAAGGATAAACGTTCTTATTAAATTTATATGAGTTACTTTTTTGGATTTTAAAAGAATCTAAATTCTAAAAATTTAATTTAATTAGAATGCTTGTAATTAAAAAATTAACAAATTTAATTTGACAAATTTGTAAAAATTATGCATTATTAATTACAGTTTTAGTTAGAAATTTTATGGTTTACTGCGGCAAATAATTCATTTAGTAAATGAATTAAATAATCAAAGTTTTGCAGTGTGAACAATGTGAGTGTTATTTGGATGAAACTTGTACAGCCTATATTCGGGATAATAAACCATACTGTAAGAAGGATTATATCAGGTTAGTAACTTTTGATATTTCTCTTCTCTCATGAATTGAAATCATCTTTTTTTGAATTAGAAACCATACCAAACTTGTTCCATTTCTTTTTTCTCAGAATTAATTGCATAAAATTGTTTTAAATCTTAAGTTATATCAATTAATTAAGCCTAACTTATCAACTTTATAAAAATTCAGCCTTTTTCTTTTTTTGGTCCCTCCTACTTGATATTTAATCAGTAATTAAAAAGGAAGTCAAGAAGAGCTATTAATGAAGTATGAGGAACACTGAGTCTATTGTATCGGTGGCAATGTGTAATTGGAACAGATGAGCACTTATAAATGGCACTTGACAATTCTTTCCATTCTACAATGGCGTATTTTCAACGCCTTATTGTTTTTGCTTATCTTTGTGTTCGTCTTTCTTGTAGCTACCACGCAGGGTCACGTAACGAACAGGCTTTAGTAAAATATGTAAGCTTTTAATCTCAGTCTCATGCATAAATACATAAAATGTTTATACATGAAATCGCGTTCATCTCCTCCCGTTGCTTTCATTTGACCTTGTGTTCATCTTTTCATCCACCAAAATATAAAAGATAAATTCAAAATAAATCTACTATTGATTTTCCCAAACAAAAAAAATAAGAACGCTTTTATAAATTTATTAATTTACTAAAACAAAAAATAAATGATTTTTTTTTGTCAGGTTGAGTAGTATTTTGAGAAACAGTAATATATCCGAATAAAATTTGTAGCTGTTGTAATTTCATCCTGCAGGATAAGTAATTATCCTAATGTGTGTATATCGGGTATATCCTTTACAAGGAGCTTGTGTCCTCTATTTTAATCTGCTGCTAATCGGTTTTTCCCATCTTGCTTTTGAAAGCTTGGAAGGAACTAATCGGTTTAATGTGTTCCTCCCAGCTTTATTCATTTCACATTACCCTCAATCTAATCTTTATTTTCAGCCTTCCTACATAAATTATATTCCTTCTTTTTTGTGTTATTCTGTCCTAAATTTTCGCTTTTTAATGTTTGCAATAAAAAATAGTTTTGATTACACTTAAATATTCCTCCGAAATGATAAACTTTGCTTCCTGTACAAAAAAATTCCTTAGATTGATTTTTTTCTGATAAAATGAACAGGTGGCTTTATTAGTTTGATCGCTATATATATTCAATTTTCAATACTTTGTTTTAATTAATTAGTATATAGTTCATGTAATCAGTAAAATTGAATTTTCAGATTTTAATGATTTCTTTACTTTTATGGACACTAACTTATTTTTCTTTAACTTTGCTATCATTGCCATCATTTGATAAAAGTAAGAAAAAAGTGCAATAAGCTTAAATGTAAAAATTGACCAGCCATGTTGAAATCATCCATTATTTCTATTTATTAATTCAACGTGTCAGCTGTATAGATTGTTAAGCTGTCAAACTTATAGTATGCTTGGATGCTAAGCCATGGTAATTAATGAGATTATCTTCTCGCCCTTATCAACCATCGCTATTGATAATCATTTTTGACAGTTTGTGTCGAGAAAATCCACAACAATCTTCGAAACCAAACATTTGTCATCAATCATCTCTTTATTGCATTTCGAATAAATCGTATGAATGAAAATATAACTACTGATTCTTTTAAAATTAAAGTTAAACAAATGAAAAAAAATCAAATTGATTATAGTAAGAGTGATGAAAAGTATTTCAGCTCTTTCAATTCCACTTAATATACCGCAAAATAGAGATTAAGCAATGAGATATTTATCTAATGCAAATGTAATATTTATTTTTCTGACCTCAATCTTCCGTCTTTCAACTTCGATATCTTATGATTACAACATTGTGAAATATGGGATTGAATCGGCTTAGTATCTCTAAAACTAAATTAGTCATCATTAAACAATCATCAATGTGATATATTTCTATAGTTACATAAAAGATAATTAGTTGTGTCAAATAAATAATAGTCAACATAATAAAGATAATAGTATCGTCCGGTACATAGCAAAGTGACGTGGCACATCAATGGAAGGACAATCTCAAACGATCATTATCATCATCATTAATACATCGATTATACAAATATCACTTTTGACATTTCCTACTTGCTATTATATAAGGGTTAAAGGTGGCGGTATTTGTTTTTATTTGAAAAGATGTTGTCAAGTTAATTGATGTCTTTTTATTTAACGCATCACTCAATTCTTTCTCATGATTCATTGTCATCTTGTCCTTCAACAGCTTCAACTAATTGCCCAGATGTTTTTATTAGAAGATAAGTTTGGGAAATTACAAAAAAAAAGTGGCATCTTATTAAGATCTTTTCCATTCATATTATTTCAAAGGGAAATCGGGAGGAAAAAAGAAAGTTTTAAATGCAACTACCTGAATTAATTTAAATTTGTAGAATAAAAAAATATCGTTCGTTGAAATTTCGGCATACGATAATATTGCTCTTTATAGATTATGTAAAAGTTTAGAATTATTTCAATACAAAATGAAATGTTTTCATAAAAAATGTTGAATATTCGTATTTTCATCATACAATATGAGTAAGATTTTCAGAAGATATTTTAGATAATTTATCCATTTAATATAAGCACAATAAATGCTTTAAGTTTAAATGTTACATTCATTGAGATTCTTCTCAATGAATAATTTTTTTCCCCACTTTTTTTACTTAGATAAGTTGAAGAAGAGTACAGTATTAGTTAGAATCCACGGAATCAGAAGAACGGAGAAGAGAATTGATGAGCTGTCGCTAAGAGGGAATCATATCAACTCTCCCACGATTTTATATGCTCACGTTTCGCATTAAAAATTGCTATTAACATTATTTTAAGCGCTTAAAAGGATCGGAAGCTTTTCCGTCATGGCAATTTTCGAAATCAAATTTATGCAGTCCCTCGTTCTTCTATTACTCGCACACATGTCTATCCACACATACACGTACTCACATATACACTTGCACATATCACCATCCTAATAATGTTGCAACTACAGTTCCTCTCGGTGGAGTGACAATGCAAAAATTACTATCGCAATAACAAATTTCTCTACTATTA